GCCATGGCAGGGCATGAGGCAGGGGACACATTGGACAGGATGCCAGTCCATCGCAGGGCATGAGGCAGGGGACACATTGGACAGGATGCCAGTCCATCGCAGGGCATGAGGCAGGGGACACATTGGACAGGATTGCACAGGGCAGACATGCACATGTTTGCATTTAAATTTAGATGTTAGAATGACAAGTTACTTCTTTTTAAATTGCACTAAAGATGAACTGACCTATATAAACAGATTTTTGGTCTGCAAATGCCTAGTGCAAAACTAGTGAACGCTCAACCGATCCACACAGCCAAACCACAGATGCTTAGTTTAAAATTTACTGGCCTATCCAATGAGGTGTGTGCGATAGCGATTGGCCCATCCAATGAGGTGTGTGCGATAGCGATTGGCCCATCCAATGAGGTGTGTGCGATAGCGATTGGCCCATCCAATCAGATGTGTGCGATAGGCATTGATTGGCGTAAACTGCAGAGTGCACTAGCTGCTAGATAATAGCGTTAATTTAAACCTGTACTTGATATAGGGTCACGACTCAGCTGGCGTGGTAAACATTGGGTCATGGTGCAAAAAAGCTTGAGAACCACTGACCTATAGTATTTAGATGATAACAATGGTCATTGTTCTATAACACCTGCCCCCTGCTACACAACAACAACCACAGTAATAAGGGAAATAATAATAGCTCTGGGTGGTATGTGGTGATCATAACGTCACCGCTGGGGCACTGAACACGACCTTTAACCCCCATTCGGCCCAGGGACTGTCTGACTCTGCTTGCTTTGGATTAAATCATCCGATAAATAAGAAAACGTCATAATAATGATTAATAATATATATTTTTAAGAGTTGAATCTTTTTTAATATGCTTATACGTGATGGTCTTCTGTGTCCGTATGCCATGTCATTATTGGTCTAAGGCGAATCCTGCAGATCTTGCAGAATATGGCATCTGAAAAGAAGGTGGATAAGCCCAGGAAGGGAAATTACTGGCTCTGATTCAAAGCCCCCGCACTGGCGCCCCCCCCCACACTTAAGGAGGCTGAAGGGCAGCCTTCTCAGCGGGAGGGGCAGTTATAGCACGGCCTAAATATGCTCATGGGCTGATAATGGCTAATGGACCAACCCGGCGGGGAATGGGCTGCGGTCCGAGGTCGTGGAATTGCATCTCCGTGTGCTTCAGTGAAGCAGCGGGAACGTCGACCCGGAGGGGGGTGTCGGAGAGTCAGCCTGTAGGGCCAAGATGGAGGAGGTGACCTGGAGCGAAATCCTGACAGGAAGGAGCCCGCTGAGACAGGAGGACTGCCGGCCTCTTCCTCGTCTTGCTCTGTGTCCTCCTTCGACTTTCCTTCTGGAATTCCCACTTGGGGGAGCGGGGGGGAGGGCAGATGTCAGTCATCTGTCACTTTCTTGAGTGACGTCTGGTTTGAGCGGGTGCGTGTGAGCAGTCCGGGGCAGTAAATGGCAGCCTCGTGTCGCGGAGCTGCTGGTTTTGATGTTGTAAGCACCCTTCTGCTGTCACTGAAGTATGGATCGAAGGGGGGGAGGGGGGAGGCTGTCCCTCGGTATCTGCACCCAAGCTTTAAGTCAAGGATGCTTCTGAATCTGTTGGCTTCGGATGGTGATTTAAATTTTTTTTGCCCTGAGTCCTTGAAAGAGTCTTGCATTCATCTTAACACTCGGAGAGTGTTAAACTCACCTTTGCTTTCCTCTCTGAATTTTGAGCAGAGTCAGACAGCGGCGATATTCTCAATTTCACACCCACTCCCTCTGACTGCTGGCTTTGAAGGGCAAAATTTTATTCAGATGGAGCCTGTTTTGCACTTGCCCTTGCAGTACTCTGTAAACATACGTAATGTCACCCACATTCGCCATAAATGCCCTCAGGCGAGTAAAGCGTCTGTTTTCAATGTAAAAGTCTGCTACTGATCCCTCAGGTGCTTCCTTTAGGATACAGTGCACTTCCTCCTCAAGGCAGAGAATGGCCGTGCCAGTGAACGTGATTGGTCAGGTATTTATGACAGGCGGCTGAGGCAGCAAATGAGGAACCAGCTCCCACCCAGAGTAATGTGGAAAGTCCCACGTGAGGAAGACTGGATGCGTCTGTTTAAATCACCACACAGGACTAAGCAGAGTCTGTTTTTCAGACTCCTGGAACAGAAACAGCCTATTAGTTTGAGGAATGGATGAATTTTCACAAAATATTTTATTAAAATTAAAACAGAATAACTTTACCATTTGCACATGTTCAATTTATCTATAATAATCTTGCATCATCTTGCATGACTTGGCCAGTAAGAAAATCAGCAGCCAGCCGTATGGCTTATAATATGAACATGATAATTATCTTAAATTACTCCTATTTTACAGAAATCTAAAATGAAAATGAATGCGGGAACCCGTCTGCTTTGTGTGTGCTGCATCCTGTCTCTAGGAAACCTCATTCTGATGACTTAATTCATTGAATTAACTGAATTATTTTGCCGACAAGGAATAATTATTGACGGAGCAAATATTGTGTTGGTTATCGGGATGCAGTGCATGGGACACAGAGGCCCGTGTGGGGAAAAAGTAACAAAAAGACTTGATAAAATAAATGATAAAATAAAATAAAATATCAGTGTGTAATTAGATACTTGTGCTGCAGTGCTGTTCCTCTGCAGCTACAGTGAGTTTAGCCATTTTCATGCTAATCCTGAGGGGAAAAAAATCCAAGAGCTGAATTTTGATGATCTCTTGTCGCAAAGTGTAAAAAAATAAACTGTGTTACTGTCAGATGCGCTTATTGTGGATTTTATGAAATTCTGCTGCGCGAGACGAGGGACCGGCGAAAGCTTAGGGACATAAACCGAAGATCTGTGAAGCTTCACGGAATCCTCACGAAGATTCAGTTAAAAAGCACGTTTTCGTGATATGAAGCACGGTTTGCATAATCTCCTCAATGTAGTAAAGTCGGCAAATGTGAGATTAATCGCTGAAGGTCGTGCATCCTGCAATGATCTTTACAGACATGCCTCTTTGGCTGTTTTGGTGCAGGACGGCACAGCGATTAACTGCCGGAAATACTGATGCCTTTAAATCACCTGACATTCTGTGTCATAAAACATGAAGCTATATGCCCGGTATAGAATATCAAGGTCAGGCATCTTCCGCTGATGGCTTTTATTTATGTTTCTTCTATATCTGTGAGGATGTTTTTCACTTTTGTTAAATTTATTTTTTTTTTGAGGTGTGGTCCAGTCTGTCTTTTATCACCTGGTTCATCATGGCCTGACTTTTCACTCTACTGCCATTTATCGTGTTAAAATCCACACAGAATGCTTCCAAGAAGATTGTTTTTTGTTTTTATGCCTTTACGAATGTACGAACACACCACGACGGTCCAGACATTCACTGTTTAAGGTTATCGTTTCGCCCCCTGTGTCATTTTTATTCGGCTTGATATTCACCAGGAAACACACCCGCACAATTTTGTTCTGATTAAATCATCACTGCTGTGTGCCAGATAAAAGGTAAAGAGCAGTTAATCAGAAACACCCTGTCATTACGCTCCCCGTGTGATTACGCTCACTGCCTTGACAGCGTTGCCCCTGTTGTTAGCCACGTGCTAACGCCAGCTACCCCTGCCCTATCCTTTTTGCCTTTCCAAAACAGACGTACTGTTTCTCGGTGAATGTGTTACCGGGGGTTGTGTGTGGTTCTGTGTGCGCTTTAGCGGGTCTGCCTGGTGAAGGTAACTCAGGCATGACCAAGCGAATACCGATCACAGCCCCGTTGATTTATTTTACACAAGTTCCCCTCCTTTTTCCGAAGTCGGGAAATTGGCACAATGGTTAATATGGATGATGTAATTTGGATTTAGGCATTTGGATTTAGTCTGATGGCCTTACGGTCGTTGCTGTTCGGAAACCATGGGTTGCATATTAAGCCAGGGGTTACATTACATAACTATATTAATTAATAGTTATTTAGTACTTGTACTTAACATTTATTTATTTGTATCCTTTATCTACCTATACTAGGTATGTGAAGAAAAATTTAAAAGTCAACCAAATTAAATACCAATGGTACCATTGGAAAGAGCTTGAATAAACAAAGACAATGACACCAAAATCACTCAGATATCTTAACAAATAAGGAAAATATTGGCAAAAGAAGTTCGCTAATTAGCCCTATTTTTTTAAATGGAATGTGTGTAGAAAACTGTGACCAAATACCTAACTTTTTATATAAAAACGCTTGTAGTTTCCTTCATAATCAAGATATCTCAATGAAACTTTCAGGGAAGGTGTATCTCTTTATGTTCTTCAATCTGAAAGAATAATATATATTCCAAGTATGTCCTTAGTCTGAAATAAAATTGATAGAAGGTGAAGACTGGAATGGTGTATCAACAGGCGCCGCTGTTGGTTTAGGTCACGTGACCATGTGAATATCTCATCTTCTGCTTAATATGCTGCCTGTCCTGGTCAGTAAACTTTTTTTCTGATCCATAGAAAGCTATGAAACTGCAGGATTAGAAAGATGAAATGATAAACAATATGTCAATTTAGTTTTCAAAAGCGTCACTTAATCCTTTGAAGTGGTTTTTGTATGTTGAAATCGAGTGCATTTTTCAACGTTTCCGGAAAAGGTCTAAATGTACACAGAATTGAACAATTCAAAACGGAGGACGAAGAGGGGTTCCCCATCTATGTTATCAGTGGGAATACCGCGGAATTCCGCAATGTGATATAATAAGAATGCGTATTTTCCGGGGTATACCCAGCGCTCAGATGACCCGATGGTGGAACAGGAATCTGGAACAAAAAAGGCCGCCATGTTGGTCGCGCTCTTCACATACCTACCTATACGAAGTCAGACTGTAAACGGAAGCCTCGTTCTGGCCCGGTTGACCTGGGCTTGTGTACAGTGCAGGTTTGGTCCTGCACTAAGCCCAGATAGATGCTCCTCTGTCACAGCGATGAGGAACAGAGCTCCTCTCCTTCCTAGGTTCCTCCTCCCGGAGTGAGGACCACCTCTTCCGTCGGCTCTTCCGGAGATACAACCAGTACATCCGGCCGGTGGAGAACGTGTCCGACCCAGTTACGGTCCAGTTTGAGGTCTCCATGTCACAGCTGGTCAAAGTTGTAAGCCAACCTTCTATTGAATGGTCTTGCTTTTGTTTTAGAATCTATTCCTACCTTATTTTTACTCAAATCACTTCATCATTCATTATTTCACCTATTAAGATTTATCTTAATCTTAGATAATCTTAATAAGCCATTTTTGAAAAAGAGTTCTTAAAAATGTAAAATATTTAACAAATATTAATCAATCACAAAATTCATTGGCCTTTACTTGTTTTGACGACAGTGTATCTCCATAATGTCAGCATCTTTACCATGTAGTCAATGATTGCAACTAAACAAAACTTACTAATCATGCAGACTGGCCTTTCATTTGTATCCTGCATTGTACCACCTAGAATCTCCTGTAATAGAGCCGAGAGGAATTTTGTATTCAGTGGTTTCAAATGTCTGATCCGTAGCCCAGTAAAGTATAAGCTCAACACAGCAGCAGTTATACTAATCAAATTATCAAGGTCAAATTCTGTTTCGGTTATAGTGACAAGAGTTTTGTTCGTAACTGTGGCCATATTTGCTTCTTGCTCTGCAGGATGAAGTCAATCAGATCATGGAGACCAACCTCTGGTTGAGACACGTACGTTTCTTGGATGTCTTCCTCATGTTCTCCAGCACCTCCTCTGTCAGTGTGATGTGACCTCCTGTGGAGGGTCATTTTGCCCCCCGTGTGGAGACATACACCGGGATGCTAACTGACAGGACCTCCTTTGGTTCTGTGTGGTGCTGAACAGGGAACCAGGACGTTCTGACAGTCATGATTGTGCGGACTGGCAGTTACGTAGAAGATTGGAGCTGTCCTAGAGAACAGACATTTTCAAGAATGTTCTAAATCTCCATGATATTATTCTCGGCATTTAACCTCTGCGTGTGGTTCCACCACGTCTTCTCCCCCCACCGAGCCCCCACCCTCCGCCGCTCTGTCATCGTCCTGCATGGGGCTTCTGTCTGACACCCCGCCGACGGGACATTGCTGACATTCAGATCTGCTCACGTCCAGCGGTCACTTGTACCCTGACACACACAAATGGCGGTTCTAGATCATTCCGGTCGTGGGGGAGGGGTGGCACACTGGAGCCAGTTGTTCTGTTCCAGGGGCCGTGCGCGTTCGATTTGGCCCTGGCTGCATGCATAGTCACACGCAGACACAAATGCCCGTACCTTAGGGCGAGCACCTAATTCATGTCGGGACAGCTAAGGCAGGGTTTACAAAGCACCATCTTAGTTGGATTTCACTTTAGCGCCGGCGTTCTTGCTGCGTGCTGATTGGTCAGTCTCCTACAATCATGCGTGTCACTGATGTTAATGTAATACAGCTGGATGAGTCTTTCAATCAAGGAAACAAACGAGTCAAAGCGCAAGAAGAACTGAACTATTTAGCCAAGAATAGGAACCTTTCAGTTTTAAAGTAGCTTGTAAACCCTGCAGTAGCTCATAGCGTCTCCCCTGACATGGATCAGAGGGTCTCCCTACTGTACCCAGCTACACGCAAATCCAACACGGGAGCGGCGCTCTAACATGTGTGCTGCTGGATGTGCCGGGTCACGAGATACAATTTCCACGCGTATGTCTGCTTTCAGCAGCCTGCTAGCTAACTATTAGCTATCATTAGCGACAAGGCTTCAAGCTAGCAGTTCAAAGGCACGAGTTATGTGGAGCATGTGACCAGTGACGCACAGCTATCCCTTTGCTAGTGCCCTGCACTTCCTGGTAAAGGCTTCAGGATTATCTTTATCTTACACTGAATAAGTCACTGGAGTAAATCATGAAGCAACATGTAATAATCCGTCTACTGTATTTCCAGGAGGTCAGATTCAATTTTCTGATTTAAACTGCAAACTCTTAGTATTATGTAGCAAACACTATTCTGATAATCCATCCATCCAGTCACTTATCCTGGTCATGGTTTGGAGGGACCTGGAGCTCATCTGGACATTGGACAGGATGCCAATGTGCTGATAATGAACTTGCAGATCACACAGATGGTGCTTTGCTTTTACTGACTCTGCTCCATCACCTTTACATCTGTCTTGGCTAGAAGTGACACAGAATGTGTGAAATATTACCATGACTATCTTCACCAACTTTAAAGAGTCATCTTAGCTCTTCATCCACACAATCTCTGCCTCTCAGCAGTCAGCATGCTCAAAATTAGACATACTCAAGAGTTTTTTATTTCCGTCATGTACTATTATGAAAGTTAGTAAATCCCGCTGTAACTTCATAATTACGGGCCTCCTTTCAGAGAATTTGAAATGTTCACCATTCCCAATTTCCTGACACCCCCTGCCTGTTTCAGATCTGGAATGACTACAAGCTGAAGTGGTCCCCGACGGAATACGATGGAATTGAGTTTATACGTGTGCCGTCTAACAAAATATGGAGACCCGACATCGTGCTGTATAATAAGTAAGTCTTGGCAGAGTTGCTGTGAAGGTCTCTCCTTTCTGAGACCTTCAATACGTTCAGGGTGAAGTTGAACATCAAAGCCTGCTTCGGCTTGCTGACCACAGGGGTTCAGAGCCCATCAAGGCCTTTATCTATAAACAAACTCATCACTTGAATTTTTCCCTCCCATCAGTGCTGTGGGGGATTTCTTAGTGGAGGATAAGACCAAAGCCCTCTTGAAGTTTGACGGGACGGTGACCTGGGTCCCTCCAGCCATCTTTAAAAGCTCCTGCCCCATGGACATCACCTACTTCCCATTTGACTACCAAAATTGCTCCATGAAGTTTGGGTCCTGGACGTATGACAAGGCCAAGATTGACCTGGTCCTGATCGGATCCAAGGTCAACCTCAAGGACTTCTGGGAGAATGGAGAGTGGGAGATCATTGATGCTCCTGGGTACAAGCACGACATTAAGTATAACTGCTGTGAAGAGATCTACCCTGACATCACCTACTCCTTCTACATCCGCCGGCTCCCTCTCTTCTACACCATCAACCTCATCATCCCCTGCCTGCTCATCTCTTTCCTGACTGTGCTGGTCTTCTACCTGCCTTCAGACTGTGGGGAGAAGGTCACCCTGTGCATCTCGGTGCTGCTGTCCCTCACCGTCTTCCTGCTGGTCATCACCGAGACCATCCCCTCTACCTCGCTGGTCATCCCGCTCATCGGCGAGTACCTGCTCTTCACCATGATCTTCGTCACGCTCTCCATCGTCATCACCGTCTTCGTCCTCAATGTGCACTACCGCACGCCCACCACCCACACCATGCCCGTCTGGGTGCGCTCCGTCTTCCTCCAGACGCTCCCCCGCGTCATGCTCATGCGCCGACCCGTGGACCTGCAGGCCCCCAAGGCCGTGGCCAGGGGCTGCTCCGCTGGCAAGAAGCGGAAGGAGAGCACCCCCCAGCAGGGAGTGGTGAACTGCCTGGAGTACGGCGAGAGCAAGGCACCCGCAGACTCTAAGGCGTGCCGCTGTCGGCACGGTAAGGATGCCCCTGAGCAGGACTCCGGCAAACCAAACCGGCCCATTGGCGCGGTTCTGGCCTTCTCTGTGGTCTCTCCTGAGATCAAGCAGGCCATCGAGAGCGTCAAGTACATCGCGGAGAACATGCGGAGTCGCAACAAGGCCAAACAGGTGGGAGCAAGTACACCATCCATCCAATCATCCATACCTCCATCATCCATCCATCCATCCACTTACCTACTAAAGGGCCATATTGAGCACATAGGAGACACCTAATACACTATGAGTTCCCAATATTTTTGATGACTGTGGACCAGTATAGGCCTATGTTGTGTAAAAATTTCATGGACCCCTTAGAATTTGTCAACTTGGTGAAGCTGGAGGTTAAAATTACTGATCAGATTGGCAGGCCAGATTTAGTAAAATAATCTTCCTTAGTTTTCCATTTTTTTTCAGGTGCAATCAGAACCCTGCACTGCTAGTGACAGAGCTTTGGCGCCGTTTTTAAAACCTACCGCTTGAGTTTATTCCCTTTGAAGTGAGTCTGAAGAAACAGTCTCAAAAAACAAAATCATTGATAGATGTTTCATCGAGCTCACGCCCCTTTCACCCTGACGGTCGCACGGTCGCTGTGCAGGAGGACGCTGTTGGGTAAACTGCGTGTTTGCGCTTAAAAGGGGTCGATGAGATTACAGGGTGAGCGTCCGCACTGGCAGGCGATCCGTTCTGAGCGTCCGCACTGGCAGGCGATCCGTTCTGAGCGTCCGCACTGGCAGGCGATCCGTTCTGAGCGTCCGCACTGGCAGGCGATCGTTCTGAGCGTCCGCACTGGCAGGCGATCCTTCTGAGCCTCCGCACTGGCAGGCGATCGTTCTGAGCCTCCGCACTGGCAGGCGGTCCGCACTGAGCCTCCCATTTCGGTAATTAGAAGATTGCTGCCGTTTGTATGGCATCCCCAGGAAACTCTGCTGCTGATCCACAGTGATGGAGAGCCGCATCAGAAATGGAGAGGATGCGTAGTGTCACTGGGGGGGGGCAGCGCTTCTGACACTGGAATTAACTGGATTAAATGGTCGCATGGCGCTTTCATATGGAAACGTGATCAGTTGAGTACCCTCTCACTTACCCACTGACCACGAATTGGGGCTGTGTTAAAAAAACGAGTATACCAGAGTGCTAGGAGTAATGGGTAACATCCTATTAAAAGCTGGGTGACGTGATATTTTGCAGTGCTGTGCAAGTGTTTGCCGGTCAATAATGTTTCCAATAAAGGAAATAATGTTTGAGTGATCTTCATGTTGGTGTAAAACCATCATATTATGTCTGCCAATGTGTGTTATTAGTTATTTCAAAAGTCATAAGATCACCCTAGTATAGTGCTGGTGCCATTCCAGATCTGATGGGGGCGGGTGTGTGTGTGTGGGGGGGGGGGGGGGGGAGTGTAGCCACGCCCCTGGAACAGACTGGGTTTATTTGTTCTAGGATGATCGTCTGTATTAAAAAATGCAGGGGTGTCAAACTCCAGTCCTGGGGGGCCGGAGCCCTGTACTTCCCATGATTTAACACACCTGATTCAACTCCTTTTGCTAATTACCACACAGCTCTCGAGCTGAATCTTTTGTGGTGGAACAGGGAAAGAACTAAGCTACACAGGGCTCCGGCCCCCCAGGACTGGAGTTTGACACCAGTCAAAAATCATCTCCACCTTCAGGCCTCCTTTAGCCCGGCCATGGAGTCCGTAAGCATGTTGCCGTGATCCGTTCCTCATCCCCTGCTGGGTTCTTCACCCCTTGTGTCACTGTGCCTCTCTGTTCCCCCTCAGGTGGAGGACGACTGGAAGTACGTGGCCATGGTCATTGACCGCATCTTCCTCTGGGTCTTCGTGCTGATCTGCATGCTGGGGACCCTCGGCCTCTTCTTCCAGCCTCTCCTGGACTTCCTGACGTAGTGTTTGGCCGGTGTTGGCCAGGACTCCACAATTCCAGTCCTGGTGGGCCAGTCTGCAACACACTTTGCAGATTTCCCTGCTTAGCACACAGCTTATTTAGCTAACTGCCAGCTTTACTAGGTGTCTCTCAGCAGGGGAATCTGCAAAGTGACCCTCCAGGACCCCAACCGGGGGACAGGTGATTTTTTTGCGACATGATGTCACCAAACCCAAATGCTCGTTCTGCATTCTCCATCTCGTATCATCTACATGTTTGTATTTAGTTTCCCCAGATCGTAGCTCTCATCAGTCCAGAGGAGAACATGTACATGTATAGCTCAAGGTCAATTCATCAATCAGCAAAGGCATTTCTAAGAAAGGGTGTCCGGATCAGGCACAGATACATGGTGAAGCAGGGACACACGCTGAAGGGGCACAATGTGGGGACCCACCAAAAAGTTAGGGAAGAGACAGCCAAGCAGAAAGAGACCGGCAGGGTGTCCTTGGTGTGATTTTATGTAAATTCCATTCGCTATCCTTTACCCAAACGTTTAATCATTTCAAGCCGCTACAAAACACTTGAGTTCTCCAGATAGAGGAGTTCCCCATTTAATTAAGCGTGATAAATCAGCATGACCTTTTTTAGTCCGAAGGCAATTAGCTCTGTGGCCTGTGGGCCAGTCAGGATGGTTAACTTTCTTGGATGTCATATTCGGCACGGAGGCGACAGGCTTGGGGGATTGACTAGGTCTCCATGGGTGTATCTAATTGGCCCCACCGTTGGAAGATGGCCTCTTCGCTCTCCCCCTGGGTCTCTGGGGCTTGCCTGCTCATTGCTTTCACTTCTCTCCCGAGCTACAAGTGCAGTTAAACTCCCCGAAGCCCATTAACCAGCTTGACATTTCACATTAATGTTCACATTCCACTTTTCTCAAAGCCCCGTTTGACTGCACTTTCATTCTCAGCCGTGTCATTTGCGATTCCCTCTTGAAAATGACCATAAATCACTATTAAGCGTTTTTGTGAAAATTGTACCACTCTTAATAAAATTTCATTCACTGATTGGTCAGTTGAATTATTCCGTTGACTGACTGCTGTACTGTACAGCTGCACCTTTTATGTTACACCATAGGCTGTTTGTAAAACTCAGACTTTGGTTTGATATTATAGTGGGTTCCTGAAAAACTGTGAAAACCAAAGAATTCTGGAAAAGGCTTTCAGGCTCTTGTAGCGTTTGTAGCTTTGTTCAGTAGATGTATAGCAATGTATAGCACTCTCCACATTGTTATAATAGGTGACCATCGTTTGTTTGAAAGTGTCATGATGGCGCTCAATGGTCCTAGATCACCATGACGACAGGTGGTCCCTTTGGCCACTGGACGGGACTGAATATGTCATTTCTAAAGCCGTCCTTAGGGGGAATTTTTTTTTCCAGGTAGTTGGATGCAGCAGCAAGAGGTGCAGTTCTGCGAAACCAGCTTAGTGTGAGCAGTTGTAAGCCAAAGACTATGGGGTTACAGAGGGGTCTTGGCTGAGGAGAGGACGGCTGCATGAAGGGAGTCAAGAGGAAACTCCCGACAGATCCAGGATCACCAGCCTTTCCTGCTATGCCCAGTTGGCCTGTGGTTTTCCAGTTCAACACTTCTCATATGGTCATGTGGTCTTGCCACCATTTCTCGGAGCACATCAGTGACCCCATACATCTAATCCCATGGGCCTGTTAGCCGCTAGGATGCTACAGATAAGGTCCCACCCTTTCATCTTAGCGATTACAGCTGAGCGCTCTGGCTGCAAGACCCGCGGCTCCTTGGCGGCTCGTCTCCTGGAACGGCACCAAAGACAGCGATTGATTTATAGATAGTGAGGATTAAATCTCCGGCTTTTCATCCAGCCAATAAAAAAGTGGCCTCTGAGGCAAGTTGAAAGACGCCTACCATCAGGAGGAGATGAATGCACGGCTTCCTCGTGAAAGCGCCGCCCGCGTACAGCTGCGATCCGCCACTCGCCAGCGCAGCGCTGGTCTTCAGCCTCTCGGCACACGCCGACACTTGAGAAGATGCAAATTTCTCGCCATTTATGCAAATCTTCGGCTCAAGGCTCATAAATATATATATACCAACTGGGGTGAGCGCGCAGCTGAACCGCGCCGACACTCGGCGACCCCTTGATGTCGCTAATTGGGTTTGCATTCCCTGAAGTGGAGCTGCTTCATCTGGTGACACCCGTGCACTTTCATCTAAAAGAGACTCTCTTGCTGCCGTTCCGTCTGGCTGGCCTTAGTGTACACACACTGAAACTACCCTCTACCTCCCCTTTCAGTGTTCCTCTCATCTGTTTTCCCCTCTCAGCTCCTGCTCCCACCACAGAGACTTTCTCCGTCCTGATTAGACGATGCTCGGGACACCAGGAGTCTCGCACCGACCCACGGCATTTGGCTTCCTTCGAGGGGACGAGCGGAAAGGTTCCATCCGCTTAATTAAAGCCGCCGTCCCAGTTCTGAACAGTGAACTTCGCATCCACGGCACGGCTAAACACATCGACGACCTTCTGTACCTCCATGCTCTTGGTGGAGGTGTTTAACCACTGCACAAACCACGCATTTGCATGAGCCCCCTGAGGTTTGGGAGCCCCCTATTGGACGTGACCGGTCATTACACTAAAGAGCGGGGGAGACTTTTTGTGGAGCCCCAGAAACAATTCACTCTCCCCCGCAGACGCCATTTTACTAGCCAATGGACGCTCTGAAACGAAGTAGTTCACATTATTTCTCTCTGCTAGCATTTTGCTAATGTTCCAGCGCGAGGCAGATATTGCTGAACATACTGACATTCACCCTGAGAGGTGACATTGGGTAGAAGACGTCAGGGTCACGCTGAAGGCTGCAGCTCTCACACTGACAATGTGCCACTGAATACACTGTGCTTAAGCAAAAGCAACAAGATGCAAACGCGCTTAAGCGGCAGCAGCGTGAGATGGACAGTGATACGTACAAGAGGTCAGTTATCAGTGTATACAGAACTTAAGATGCGGACAAAATGCATTTTGCTCCTGGGCAAAAGTCAGGAGGCTATTGTGAACCATTTGGATCGGTGTAGAGTCATGTGACCACGCCTGCTTGCTCTGATTGGTGAAACCTGCACCTCCTCGGGAGAGCAGTGTGTCTATATGGTGGTAGATGACAAGTCAAACTTTCAAGGTGAACTTTATTGCCATTTCAAAATGTGCAGGCATGCGAAGAAACAATAACATTCGTGTGAGACTTTAGAAACAGCTTTACACACAAAAGACATTAATGATAAATATGCGGTACGTGGTGCAGCTTTTGAGTAGGGCAGCGCAGTGGCTTTCACTGCACATTATCTGAGTTAGAAATGCAGACGTAGTGTATAATGTACAGTGTAAGGCAGCGTCTGCCATCATGCAATCACACTCTGTGATGGAATTACGGCTGCAAGCTTAGGGGTGCAAAGACCTATGCTGCCAGAGCGTTTATCAGTGCTGACCGTCTGTGGGGCACCCGGCTGCTGTCCTGCCTGCCCCTGCCTGCCCCTCACTCCCTGGGGTGCTTATAAATGGGCACGTTGTTTGTATCTCAGCCTCATGGCAGCATGACCTTGCCAGCTCGTGCCCCCGCCCAGCACAGGCAGATGCTCCCCCCCCCACCATCCAGTTTCTGTTTCAGTCCACGCTGAAAGGCAGCTCTCGCTTTGTGTGTGTAGCCTTCTGCCCTGTCCCCACATAGCCTCATTTACCCCAAAAAGAGCTCCAACTGAAGATCTCTCACACACACACATCCCATCCAGGGTGTAGGCCACCCTTGCACCCTGTACCATGTGTGCGAGTGTGTAAAATCATAATATATAATCAGGACAGCGGTGGGCCTCTTACGCCACATCGCCGGGACAGCGGCGGGCCTCTTACGCCACATCGCCGGGACAGCGGTGGGCCTCTTACCCCACATCGCCGGGACAGCGGCGGGCCTCTTACTCCACATCGCCGGGACAGCGGCGGGCTTCTTACGCCACATCGCCGGGACAGCGGCGGGCTTCTTACGCCACATCGCCAGGACAGCGGCGGGCCTCTTACTCCACATCGCCGGGACAGCGGCGGGCCTCTTACTCCACATCGCCGGGACAGCGGCGGGCCTCTTACGCCACATCGCCGGGACAGCGGCGGGCTTCTTAAGCCACATCGCCGGGTCAGCAGCGGGCCTCTTACTCCACATCGCCGGGATAGCGGCGGGCCTCTTACGCTACATCGCCGGGACAGCGGCGGGCCTCTTACGCCACAGGCCCTTTTCAGGGCGCTTATCAAAATTTTAAACTTCCTGAGCACACGCTGACAGCAGAGTTAAAAATAAATCTCCTTGAGGCATTGCATGCGCCCCACCCGGCCTCGTGATGCACGCCCCCCCGGCCGGCGACCTGCCCTCTGCCGTCTCCCTCATCACGCACGACAGACTCTACTGAACACGTGCAGTAAGTCTACAAAAATGTGTCTGACATCCATAGGGAAAACGGGTTATTTGCTTAAAACGTTTTAATCACATTCTGCTTGTTATTGCAAAATGAACATGATAATGTGAATTAATTCGAGGTATTTATTCTACAAGGGACATTAAATACTGCTCTGTTTCACGTTTCATTTATTGTCGTTCACTCAACTTTCCAATGCTTAACGAGAATAAAAATCTACAGTTTATGAAGTAAATGGACAAGTGGTAAAACCTGTGGTGGGGAAAAACAAGACGGGGGGGAAGGAGAATAATCACTAATAAACACGGATAACAGACAATATACATACACAGACACATAGAGGAGCAGGGGGTTCCCACAACAATACAACAGACAGAAATAATAAATACAACAGATGTAATATTATGACAGATACGACACAGAGTCTGCATTCGCAGAGTGATTAAATACCCTGGAAATATGCACGAAAAGTCACTTAACTGTCTGCATGACATATTAATGCTGTTCTTAATATTCATAACATGAACAGGGTCATATAAGTACAGTTTGCTGTAAAAGGCATTCATAATGCAAATACATATTAAAAAAGCAGTAAAGTATGTCATGTACAGGGAAACTCAGTTACACTCAGGACAAAAAGACATTCACTGCATTTCAGGGCATTCCAAGGATTATAAAAGCACTGCAACAGAATATTAGATAGATTACATTAGGATATTAGACTAATTAATTATTATTGCGTTCACTTTTGTATAGGATCCTTTACATATCAATATGGTCCCCGGTGGCATGGTAGCTCAGTAGGTGGCGCTGTTGCCTCCCACCCCCCAGGGGTTCGAATCCCACCTGTGTCGTGTGTGTGGAGTTTGCTTGTTCCCTCCCTGTGGTGAGCAGATTCTCCTGTAGATTCTGGTTTCCTTGCCATTAGGTGAAATGCCTTCACTAAGTCACTTATACCATGTCATCTTGTGAGAGTGTATTGTCCCCATGGTGGACAGGCAAGCTGTCCCCTGCTGTCCCCCTTGACCGCCTGGGAGGCTCCTGGCTGTCCATGACCTACATCGGATAAGTGAGTCAACGATACACTTCCTTCTGTGTGACAGTGATTAGCATCAGTTACCCTTTTCTTCATGGGGTAACAGTCATCGACGACTGACCCCAATTCCTGAGGTAAGAATGACCCGCATCATTGTCCATTCTGATCTGCTAATAATGTTTCGATTGATGCCGACAGAAGCAAACATGAAACTGGAGCATCGTCCCTTTGCCCTGGGCCTGAGTCAGATTATTTGTATTCGTCTTCCATAAGTGTGCACTGCACAGCAAGCCCAGAGTTATTTTGGCTTTTGGGGACACATCTGTGACCTTTTAAGCTGACGAGGAAAATCCCCGCGCATTGCTTTGCTTGGTTATCGGGACCGAGGCCGTTTGGGAATAAGTCAGGATTCTGCCAGTCGAGCTTCGGCAAACGAGGACTGGAGATGTCACTTTCCATGGGGGTCTTGAAGGTT